ATAATCACCCGTCAACTTTTTTTTCCCTAAAGCGATCTAAAAAAAAATTACTGACATTTTTAAAAATATCCCTAGACTTTTCCGATGTGTGTACAACGTGGTAAGGTGTAACTATTTTGGCGGATACGACATTGATCTTTATCTAATTGAAAACATTAGTTCAAGCATTTCAGGCACATTTTAATTATATCAAAATCTCATATTTATCAATAAAAATAAAAAAGATGTTGTGCCATTATACGATAGTTATAAGTTCAACAACCTTTTGCCACATTCAGTTTGAAATTACTAAATTATTAACATATTTTGAATAATTGTTCTGAGTTATGGAATAAAATCTTCATTCAAATTTCAGTAATTTCACAGCTTACGCTAATATATTTTACAGTCAGTGCATTCCGTCTACCATTTAAATTTATATTAAAAATTCAGGTCAATTCACGATGCAGAATTGCATTAAGAGATTAGCTGTACGCGAAACTCTCGTGAAATGAGTTTTTATTAATGTAAAATATCTAGTTTGAGGCAAATTCAGTTCATTTCGAGAAATCAATTTTCTGGAGTGGCGGGGTTGTTTTATTTTTCAAAGTATAACCAGCTTCCTTCATTCCATGCACGTATAAGGTCTAACCCTTCATTGCTGCTGGCATCAAAAGATTCGACTGTGAATATTTTTTTCGATTGCATTTATGCACTTTTTTCCCCGAACAAATTGGATTGGAAAATGATAAACCAAGCGACCGTCATATAAAATCGAACTGACATTTAATTTTATTTCACGGATCTCCACTTTCATCATGAGCCTACGTTAACCTTACCTAGGAAATGCAGAAGTCAGATACTTTCTTGTGGCGAGTTGTTGACTCACGTCTTGAAGCCACTTCAGTCCACGATCTAGTCAAGCCAAATTGATCAACCAACTAAGCATGTTTGCACTGACTAATCAGAAAAGGAGATCCATATTTCTGACTGCATCCAAAACAGTTCTCTAGAGACTCCAACGGGATGCCATCACTTTTGTGTACTAAAATACGATATTCAAGTGTTCTAGATGTTTTACTAATATATTCACATTGCTAGTATAACAAAGAGTAATTGAGCTAATTCAAAATTCAAATTTGATATTCAATGAGTGAGAAATATGGACAGGGCCGGATTTAGGGTAGGGCAAGTGGAGCTATTGCCTCGGGGCCTTCACAGGAGAGGGCCTCCCATAATAAAGATAAGAAAATATCCGAATTTTGAGGGGTTACCAAATTTAATGTTTTTTCTCCCAAACATTTTGTTTGCATTTTTACTAAGAATACTTGCACTAACAATAATAGTGTAATCGGTATATCAGAAAGCCCTGATTGCAAATTTTCATTTACTATCAATTTCCGATTTGATTGAGCATTTCAGTGGCAATACTTCTTTTTATGTGTAATTTATAAATTTATACTCATGGGTTGAAGATGAATAAAATAACTAAAAAAAATCACGGTTAACCCTGTAGTTCATATTTGCAACTTCTCCCTTTTTCGACTGCAACATTATTCTAGGAAATCACTTGAGTGTAAGTTTTTAAACGACTGTATCTATTGAACACGTTGATTTTTGCCCGCTCCCCCTATCTTGAAAATTTTTATTTTCCAAGCGGTAAGTTCAACTTTTGAGATATCCCCCACTCTTTCGTTGCCCCAAGGTCTCCAGATTTCTAAATCCGGACTTGAATATGGCGAATACTCGGTCATTCAAGAGTGTAATGGTCTTTTCCCACGAAAAGAAAACTATACTTTTTCTATGACTCGTTACAACCATATTTAAAAATGGGATTCATTTGTGATGGCTTTCCCGAATCAGAATAATACCGTTGAATTTCATAAACTAAAAAAAAGGTTAAAAAAGATTCCCTGTTTTTGTTATTATTGCAATTATTTTGAATATTGGGTGGAAGGAAACACTTAAAAAATCTTCCGTATATGTGACTTGAACCCACGACTAGTCTACTGTTCGACTAACTACTCCACAAAGCTGGCAATTAGTGTGACATAAAGTTATCTTAATTCAGGCGGGTTTATAAAGAAGTTACATAGAATAAAAAAGTAAAATAAGGAAGTTGAATATACACTTTCAAGGCAGAGCGTTTATATAAAATAAATAAGCTAAAGTGAGGAATAAGCAATAAGCTAACTTCTCACTATTTTTTACAGCGTAATTTTTTTTGGGCATGCGTCAAAACGTCGTGTATATAATCCAACTTTGAATCTTGGGTCTCTTTTATCACTGTGGAAACTTTTATCACTGTGAAAACTTTTATCACTGTGGAAACCTCGATTCTTGTTCAGTCGGCAAGCCATCATCAGTTATTTTCTCTCTAAATTCTTGAAAATTTGAATCGAAAAAATGTGACCTGCCAACATGAAAATTACTTCGATATGATTGGTCGACAGTTATTTTTTATATTTTTAAGGGTAACAGGGTCACATTTTCTTAAAAAGCAATTGGTTTCTTGCCAACGTTTCGAATTTAATTATATGCATCTTCAGAATAGAGAATAGAGTTGAACAAACAATATCACAAAAGTCAAAGAAGTGACTTGTGTGTGATAACATAAATATGACAGATACCAATAACCACATTAATGATAGTGATTAATGAAATACTTCATTTTCACAATGACATGTTGAAATATCTCAATCATAAAATAAATATTTTAAATAAAAGTAAGTTCTCACCAAATTGCGTAAAAAAATTTTTCTGGAAAAAACTAAAAATGTGAATTTTTCACATAAATGTCAAAAGTTGTAGTTCCCTTTATTACCTACAACTTTATTACATCCTACTATTATTTTCTTTCACTTTTTACCATTTTTGAAGGCTTCATCCCTGGTCCAAAACTTTCGGGAATAGCCTAATAATATTTTTTCACGAATGAAATACTGTACCATATCATTCAAAGTTCATATTCATCTCAGAGGTGGTTGAGTCTATTCAATCACGAATGGATCTTGGGAGATCCTCCCAAGCTGAATATAGTAGATTTAGTCTGAGATTTTCCAGTGAAATTAAATACGAATACAAACGTACCAGTATACAATCTTTGAACTCGGCTGAGTTTCAATTAATGCCACGCAGTGATTACTCACTTCCTAAGAATATCCTCAAACAAGCGACTTCCCGTCATGTTCTTCACATTGTTTCTGTGGGAAAGGAGCTGCTGGAAACGCGAAGCAGAAATTATTCTTGTAAAGCTGAGTAATCCGTGGAATATTGCATTATATCCTAACCGGGATTCCTTTGTTTACCAAACGAATTACACGATTGTCGCGAAACAAGAACAGATATAATACGTTTTTGGCGTAAATATTGAATAGCCATTTGCATATAGATTGATATTTTTGCATTTATATTCCGGCCGATGCTCGATTTGCTGCAATCAAGTTTTTACTAGTTCAGCCAAATTCATTATGTCATGATAAAAGTTATATTTTCTTCTCAACTCCTCTCAATCGGTTCTTCATTGATCAGAAAATTAATCCTATTAGCATTTGACGGGAAAATGTCTTTGAGTCTTTGACTTCTTATATTTTTTTGATTAAAATTGTAATGCACGAAAATGATATTTTGTCTTGGAATGTGGTTGATTGATAATGTTGTTTTTGGTGAATACCAGAGGATCGGACGTTCATTATCCAAAACGTGTTAACATATTTGAAATTTATGAATTTATGAAAATATTCGGATAAATTGCAAGAAACTTTGTTTTTGAATTTTTTATTCAACTTATTCCTATATTTCGGTCCCAGCGTTTTCAGTATTTCATTTGTTATCTGGTGTCAAATCTATTTTTCAGACAATGGATATCCAAACCTCTAACATAATATTTTGAAGTGCCCTCAGTATTCTCAGGTAAATTATCAATCATGTGAAAAATTGTATGAGGTTATCCTTATGTTAATGTAGTCCTAATACTGATTTTTTGTAACAATCTATTCAATAATGTAACGAAAACTCTGAATAGTGGGAACACTTTTTTATATTAGACACATCTACTGTGAGTTCTACAATCACCACCTATTATAAAACCCCTAAAGCGTTGAACTCAAACTACTGAACGGATTTTCATACGGTTGTCACCAATATACGAAAACGTATAGAACAATGATCATATACACACATCGGAAAAGTCTAGGGATATTTTTATAACATACTAAATATCATAAAAGTAAATGCATGAGGTCGTTTAATTTCGATTAAATTGGTACACTCGACCACCCTGTAGATTTCTATGGGTTGAACAAAGCCTGCAAAAACGGTAACTAATCTTTTATCAAGTTTTTTACAAACTGTAGGTTTTCGGCTAAAATTTTGCTATCGGTTGTTGAATTTTTATTTCATCAAGAAGAGTGTTGAAAGCCCTTGGACCCAAAAATAATCAGTAATATTTTTTTCAGCACACACAAACACCAATATTTAATAAGGTGCGTTCTTATAATTCTCACTCTGTTGAATTTATTTCAGTTTAAATTGTTGTTACTTGGAAATCAGGTAAAATTTATTTGTAAATCAGTATATCAATTTTTTTTATTTCAACAATCCGTTATTTGCTTATAGAGTTTTCCAAAACATAAAACAACTGCACCTATATGCAGTTTGATCTATTTTTCAGGCATAAGTAATCTATTCTAATTTCATTATCTATTTATTATGTTGAACAACTTTTTTTTTTCAATAAATAGTCACGATTTGAAGTGGGAGGTAGACAAAAATATATGTGCGTAGCTTAGAAAACGTACAAAAACAACTGTATCCTTCGAAATTGAACTTTATATTTGTCATAAAATAACAACAGTTAACTCTCAAAGAAATTCAATTGATTTTATTAATTTACGCGTGTTTTAAAAATCAAATATAAATCACCCAGCAGTAAATAAAGCGAATCGTAATTTTATACGTTTCACCACAATCCTATCGTATATAATAACCATTAATATCATTCAACCACACCTTTTTTTCAGGATCCCAATACCCTCTGGAAGCGGCTTTAAAAAATGGGGGCTCGAGGGACCAGCCGACCACCGCTACCCTCACGATTAACCCTACAAAAGAAGACGACGAAGCTACATTTCGCTGCGAAGTATGGAACAGAGCCCTTCCCGATAACAAAAAATTGATTTCCATCGTAGCACTCAGCGTTAACTGTAAGTTTAATTCAGTATAGATGATTTAACTCGAATTAGCCATTGGCAGAATAGTTTGGTGTAATTAATATTTCAGTATAGTGAATGGTCGGTCAATTCAGCGGAACCTCTCTAATTGCGATCAGGAGTTTCTAGAGCACTACACTAGAGATTTATTGTATTGAAATCACCAGAGAATTTTTTTGCTCAGTATTCTGATATAGAAAATGTAGGGCCCACAACCCAGCATTTTCCAGTCAACCGGACTGGATTATATAGATTTTTCCATAGAATTTTTCTGCTACACAGATAAACTCAAGAAAAGTAGTACAGAAAATTCAAGGAATTTTCATATTTTCAAACATTTTTGCAAAAATATTACGTATACACGTCATTTTACAGTTAGAACAATCAGAGCAGGTGCATACGTCATCAATTTATACATTCGATATAAGTCCACAAACTGGCAAAAATTAACGAAAACGAAACGATGCGGCCGGTGCTGACATCCACTAATACCATTCTGATCATTCACGCATTGATTTCAGTTTAAGAGCTATCGGTATACAGCTGTTTCAACCTGTTGGGCATCGTCAGTACCGGGCAGGCAGTCCTCGATTGAAGACAAAATGTGAATAACCAAAAACAGTACTTGATAAAAATAATTGCGTAAACGCAAGCGAGACATAAGTGGAACCACCTTTTGGTGTGACACCCAAGTCAGCTTGACAAGTTCTCATGTCAGTGTTGGTGGAAATATTTTCCAGCAGCTTGACTGCATTAACTTTTCTCGATTTCATATCATTTTTAGAAACATGTGGATTCGTTTTCTGATGCATTCCAGAATAGCTTCCCAATTTTGTGCTACCGCAGTTGTCGGTTGATTGGTCAAACCACCAACACTGACATAAAAACTTGGCAAGTTGACTTGGGTGTCACACCAATAGGTGGTTCTACTCATGTTTCGCTATTATTTTTATTAAATGCTTTTCTTGGTTAATCACATTTTATCTTCAATCGAAAACCGCCTGCCCGGTACTGACGATGCCCAATAGGCCGAAACAGCTGTTTACCGGTGGCTCTTAAATTGAAATCAATATGGGAGTGATCAGAATAGTACCTACTTACCTATATTTGATAACAATATTAAATTTACTTACTTGTTGTTTATCAGTTGTGAAAAATAATTCAATTTGTTTATGACACATGTGCATTATTTCATTGTCCCAACTGTATGTAGTTACTGATTATGCGTACTTGCTAGTTTGACAGCGAATCCGACATTGTCCTTAGAATCTGACACTAGAGGTCCTTTTTGATGTGAAAATAAGAATAGCGTATACCTAGTTAAATTTTGCTTATGTTTGAGACATTTGAAACATCGTCTGCTACATTTTAAGGACGATGCTGTTCAAAATAGATCCGCCTTCAAGCTAACAATGTATTATTAGTCCAAAAGTCTAATGCCAGTACATGAGAGTTCACTCTGAATTAAAAAAAGTATTTCAGATCCCTGATAATTGAATAGAAACATTAATTCACCCACACAAATTGATACAAATTTATTGGGTCAGTTATTCCAATTTGCTTTGGAACAAAATATTTATAAAAAATGTCGTGTTATTCCTGGCAAATCAGTCACAAACTTTAAATTTACAAGCAACATAATTTAAGCATTGAAATTTATTATCATCAAAAAATTTCAATCAAAAGGTTTAATGACAACTTTAATTTGACGTAAATTAAATTTTGTTGAATATATTTCAGAATTTATAAAACTGATATAAATATATTCAATCAACCGAATGCATTTACTTTTGATATCAACGTGAATGAAACGTGAACAAATTAATAAATTGATAAATGAAAACTGACTCAATGGTGAAGACCGCATATCGATATCTACCATCATTTCTATGAAAATATTTCCAAAGCACTTTTATACGTAGAACTAAATGGTGTGAAATACTCATTTGTTCAAATGGAATTTTAATGGTTATTGATCAAAAACCTTTTTTTTTTCAATGAGACCCCCTGTATATTCCTGCATATTTTAATAGAGCTTAAAATTACCTTTCCAAAAATGTAGCACATTATAGCGATATTTTGCTAGAGTCATCTTTGACAACTAATAGTGTCTTTTTGGGTTTTTTCATGTAGACTTTGAAAAGTACACTTTGAACGATGTGGCAATAAAACAAAATGCAAATCTTTAATGATAGCTGTCAAATTTTGATTTAAGCGGGAAGAACGCTTTTCACTTAGTGGTTTTTATTATTCGAGAGAATTATGAAAAATGAGTTAGTTTTTTTTATACGAATCGGGGAAAAAGTAGAAGCAGCCAGCAATTTGTATCATGAGACGTATCCAGATAGAAGACAACCTTTTAGGGACATTTTCACAAGATTGCGACACAATGTAATTGATGGTGGTCGATTTGAAAAGAAAAGGCCAAAATTATATAAATCGAATAGGGATAAGGAGTTCTTGGTAGTTCATCAACTCAGACCAGAAGATTTTGAACGCCCCATGACTTTTTGCCAGTGGTTCATGGAAAGTTGTAACCAAGTGTATGATTTTTCATTAAATTGTAGAGCTCATCAAATTTTCTAAATGCATGTTAATATTTTTTTCTTTTAATGAAATTGCTAAATCTATCTATATGCAACCTCCAAAAAGGATTCATTTAAACTGAAAAGGAAATTATAAATACTATAAAGATTCTTCGAAATACTCGTACATTATTTGTGGAGACAATCAGTGTTTCTTCAAATTTATTGGTAGTTCAAGCAACCCTACTGAAAATCTGAAAAATATTCAAATCCAGATCGATAGATAATCTGAATAAACCATCTATTAAATAAATCAAACCTAATAATGAGTAAGTAATAGTTTTTCCACTTGGCTCTTCTGTATCTGTAGAGTAGGGAGGTTGAGTGTAAGTCCACAGCACTTAGGCCACATTGAACATTCTCCCGAGGAGTTGTCCTCCTAGATCATTGTCCATCCTGTCCTTTCCAGGAAGGTGGACAGGTCACTGGGAGACATCTCCTTTATATCGGCAGGTGTAGGCCAAGACTCGCCGAACACACACTCTCTTATTGACGATAACTCCGGGCACTCGCATAGGACATGCCTGACAGTCTCATCTTCTTGATCACACATCCTGCATAGAGGTGTGTCCAATAGCCCCATATTATGGAGGTGGTTCCTTAGTTGACAGTGGCCAGTCAGACATCCTACTGTTGAGCGTAGATTTTTCCTGGTCATCGCCCTGGGATGACCAGGGCGATGACCAAGAATGACATCGATGACCAGCGATGACATCTCTTTAGGGATTGAGCATGGGTGTAACATTTGGCTAGTCCTAAAATTCTTAGTCCAGCCGCTTCCTTGGCTAAAGAGACTGCAATTCGATTACCTTCAATGTTATTATCTACCGAGCTCATAGTCATTTAAAAAAGGTAGATATATTGCAGAAAAAATCCTCAAAATTATATATGACAAAAAATCTAGCTATTCTTCGGATCTTATTTTTAGAGAGTCAAATGTTATGGATGTAAGGCAACTTTTCATGCATAGTATACTGACCTATATTTACAGGAACAAAACATTTTTGGAAGTTCCAGAGCATAGTTATGAAACAAGAAATAAAACAAATAATATGATGCGGGTCCAAATTGCTAAAAAAACAGCCGGTCAACGTAGTTACACATGTCTGGCCGGGAAATGTTTCAACATGTTACCTGAGATATATAAGGTATACATGAAAACAATAAACTCACTTCGGATGATCAAAAATATATTTAAGAAATACATTAAACAACTTGATAGGAACATTCTTCATAGCATTTTTGAGACAGCTTCTAGTTAAAAGATACACCAACCATTTATTCCTTATCAAATTGAGGATAAGCGAATTGAAATGAATTGTTAAATGTAAACTTCAAATACAGAAACTTTGAATATATTATATTTCTCTCCCCCTTTTTTTCTCCGATCTCTAAGTTTTTAATCGATTTCGATTGATGATGATTAATTGACTTGTATGTGACTTGTAAAACAACTAGACAAAAATTGTGCCCATGCTCAACCTCGCGGTCTTAAAGGGCCGTCTTGTCTGTTTATTACGATGTAAACACCACATATGTATTTCTGTGCATTTTTGATTGATTTGAAACCGAGGCTTTGGCTAAATCTTGGTGGCACTCTAGTCCTAGCCCTGAGGTAACACGTTGTCTGTTCAAGGCTAATAGAGCATGTCCGCTGTCAGTGCAGGTTGTTATGTTTTTGCCACTTAATCCTTAGGCTTAGTGATCTGGAGTACACTCCACATCCTGAGCCTTCTTTGGTTTTTGAGCCGTCTATATATATGCATATTGCATTTGTAGTATCTGACTCTGTGTTCTGTTTTATTTGTATTTTGTAGGGTTTATTGAACACAAACATGATTTCAATTGCATCACTGGTTGCCTGCAGCAGAGGTTGCGCAATAAGCGCTTCTCGCCATAGGCTCAGCCTCAATTGACCCATTCCTACTTCGAGGTTTACACCAGCCGTGCGCAATCGTAACATGGCCATTAACGCAACCTCCTTGACGTCCAGGTCCAGAGGGGTCAGACCCGTAAATAATTCCATTGCCGCGGTTGGTATTGTTCTCATGGCTCCTGTAATGTTTAAACAAGCCAGTCGCTGTATTTGATATAATTTTTGGATGGCCGTTGCTTGTAGAACTTTCGGTCCCCATGCAATGGCTTGGTACGTTAACATAGGTCTTATTATTGCAATGAAGATCCAGGTGACCACACGGGGTGAAAGACGCCATGCGCGTCCCACTGTCCTCCGACATTGCTCATGAGCCACATATGCTCTTTTTGCTCTACTCTGTTGGTGAGAGTTCCATGTTAGCTTCCTGTCGAGGATAGTACCAAGATATTTCACCTCTTCAGAGAAGTTTAGTTTGCTTTTGAAGATTTCGGAAGGTTTAAAACCCGATAAAATTCTTTTCCTGGTGAAAAGGA